AATCTTTCCTCAGCTCTGTTTTTCAGACCACTGTATACTTTATTTCATTTTTTTAGCTTAGCCCTCTTTTTAGTTCTTTTCTTCCATGTCACAGCAGAATCCTCCTCCCACTCTTTCTGGACCTTAATCATTTTGAGGAGTATTCAGAGGCTCTTCAGAGCAAGTGTGGTGTAGTGTTTAGAATGTTGGACTACTAGAATCTGGGAGTAAAGGTAAAGGTTCCCTTGCTCGAAAGCCAGTCGAATCCGACTGTAGGGTTGTGGTGCTCATCTCCGTTTCAAAGCCGAAGAGCCAGCGCTGTCCAAAGACATTTCCGTGGTCATGTGGCCGGCATGTACCTATTTATCTACTTCCAATTTCTTGCTTTCGAACTGCTAGGTTGGCAGGAGCTGGAACTAGAGACGGGAGCTCACTCCGTCTTGTGGCACCCGGCTCTCGAACTGCTGAACTACTGACCTTCCACAGCCTGCAATTCAGCGTCTTAACCACTTGAGCCGCCGCAGCTCCCAGAATCTGGGAGACCAAGGTTCAAATACTCGCTCTGCCACCAGCCTAACTTATCTCACGGGGTTGTTGTGAGGATAAACTGGAGAAGGGAATAATGTTGTAAGCCAGTCTCTGAGTCCCCACTGGGGAAAAGAGTGAGGTACAAATCTTTGTCTCTCCTATGACCTTCTTCTCAAGCTGCTTTCCACCTATCCCCCAACCTCAAACTTTTCTCATTTCATTGCCTATTTTGTGTCCTTCATGTTGCTACTCCTTGACTGTTTTTAACAGGTGAGGATGTGAAATTAACACACAAATATAGGCTGCATTCAGATATCACGATAAGCCTCTGTCTGTGATGGGCACAAATGCATAATAAAGTGTGGTATTGTGCTTTTTCCCACCTCCATCCTCCTCCTCCCCTCACCTGCAGAGCACTGATGGAAGACTTTCTGGCTGAGGTAGCCTTGAATCAAGCTCCTATTTGTTACAATGTCCAAATGCAAGCACTGGAGCAAACTGGGGTTTGCTTCCTCCTCACAAATTTGGGACTGGTTTTGTGAGGAGGAATCAAACTTTTAAGTTGCCTAGGTCCCTGCATGCATTCCGACATCACAGCAAATGGGACCTTGATTTAAGATTTCCCAGAGCAGGAAGTATTCAGCAGCACTCTGCACACAAGGGGAAGCAGGGAAGACAGAAAGCAAAATGTGAAAGCCCGTCAAGCAGAATTCGTTCTCATCAGAGAGAAACCGAACTTTGTCATAATATTTGAATGTGGTCACAGACCGTGTAACTAACTGAACAGGAGGAATGCTGATGACATTCCATAGCACCACACCACACCACTTTAGCTAATTAATGCCAGAGACTTCACTGCTGCAACTGCAATACAATATAGATGGTCGCTGTTGCTTACTGCGCATTTTGCAGGATGCTCTGTATTGGAAGTCCTTTACCAGGGACTCTGATATGATAGCGAAAAAACATTACTCACTGAATGTTAAATGGCTTCAGAGTTACGTAAGCCAAGCAAGCATCCTTTGTATAATGAAGTCAGAGAGGATGCATCGTTTCATTATCAGCTATGCATATCACATTTGAACGCTGCAGGCAAGAAAGGCTCCATGGCAAAATCAGAAATGCTTTAAAAAGAGATAATGCCACTTGAGGTAGAAGCTACAATTGTGGATTATGTATGGGGGGGGGGGGAGTTAAGAAAAAATGCACTGTTTAATGCTCAAAGAAAACAAGTCCAACCAGCTACTCTAGCAAATAGAATTCCAAAGGGGTTGGACCCTGTTCACTGAGAGCGTGACACATTTGCAGATGTTTCCCTGTTTTTTCTTCTCAGGGCCTTACGATTCATGAGAAACCAATGCCAGTAGCCAGTTTCTATTTCTTGGCTCAATCATCAACCCAAAGGGAGACTGCAACCAAGAAATCAGGAGATGGAGACTGGAAAAGGTAGCCATGAAGGAGCTAGAAAAGATCCCTAAATGTTAGGATGCGTCACTGCCAGTGTTTCCTCTAAGCTGAGTTAGTGTGAGCTAGCTCACAGTTTTTTAGCTTCCAGCTCACCCATTTTTGTCTTAGCTCAGGAAGGATGGCTCCAGAGCAAACTAATTTATGCAGTAGCCAAATCACTCACTCACAATTTTAATGCCAGTAACTCACAAAGTAGAATTTTTGCTCACAAGGCTCCACGGCTTAGAGGGAGCATTGGTCACTGGCGACCAAGATAATTCATACCATAGCATTCTCCATTACTATGTATGGGTGTGAAAGTTAGACAATTCACCACCAATGATATGGACAACATCGGGGTTAAGGATGGCCCGGGAAGATCTGCCACAATTTTGCGCGATTGATATTATCGGACTTATTTGCTTGGGATCAGCTATAGGACAACATCATCCCCAGAGAACTGTTTTTACCATCATTGTATATATTCGGGGACCATCCTGCTTTCAATTGAGTATCATTGTTGTTTGTGATTGTTATTACTGTCTTTATTGCTTTTATCCTATTTTATATGGGCTTTGCTCCTTGAAAGCTGCCCTGAGCCCGTTTCGCAGGGAGGGCGGGGTTAAAATCCCAATAAACAAATAAATAAATAAATAAGAAAGCTGACCAGGATAACGTTGATTCATTTGAAATGTGGTGTTGGAAGAGTTTTACAGATACCATGGACTGCTAAAAAGGCAAATAAGTGGATTGCAGATCAAATCAAGTCTGAACACTCCCAAGAAGCTAAAATGACTAAACTGAGGCTCTCGTACTTTGGTCACATTATGAGAAGACAAAAGTCAGTGGAAAAGACAATAATGCTAGGAAAAGTAGAAGGCAGCAGGAAACGGACTGACTAAATAAAGATGGGTTAATAAAGGAAGCCATGGGCCTCTGTCTGCAAGGCTGTTATTGATAGGACGTTTTGGAGGACATCAATTCGTATGGTTGCCATAAGTTGAAAGTGACTTGACAGCATTTAGCACACACACAGAGACCGATTCCCCACAAGCAGCTGTGCCGCTCTCGCTCTTTTTCTCCTGCTTGCATTGGTCAATTTCACACTATTCCTTACACAGCCGCATTTAGACTTGCAGCTCCCCATGATTTCCCCCATCTTCTCAATCCTTGTTGCGGGTCAAAATGTGGTGTGCAGTGAATAGTGTGAAATTGACCAATCCAAGCAGGGGAAACAGAAGAGCAAGAGCCACACAACATTCTCCCCAGTTGGTGCTCAAAGATGCTTAGAACATCATTCTCCCCTCCTCCATTGTCTCACAACAAACCTCTGAGGCTGGCTCTCAGTGGCATTTTGAAAACTAATGACATTTATTTCAGCATCTGCTTTCTTGAGTCAGAACTCACTTTACATATGAAGAAGTAAGCTCTCACTCACAAACGTTTATGCTGGAATATACTGGGCTCCTGCCTTATTTTATTAAAAGTCTTTTCATTTTATTATCTGCTGTTAGGCCATCTGCTGATTGTTAAGTCTGCATTGAACGTCTGGCATTTTTATAAACAATCCATATATTTTAAAAAATTCTACTGGCTTGTTGTAATGTCTTGCTTGTTGCAATACTGCATACCCCTCTTGAGAGGACTAGGAATGGAATCTCACAATCTTTAATAGCATTCCCTAGTCTCTAAAAGCCACATGTCAACTGAGCTTCTGTGGAGTATTAGGGGAAACACACCTGTTGCTAACATTATGCCTTTTTTTAATGCAAGAAAAAGGGAAAAGCTATCACTGCTCAAAACAGAAATCACAGCATCCACATTTACTGGAATGGAAGACACACCTGAATGTAATACACACACACCCTCAAAAACAGTTATTTATACCCAATTTTTTTTATTGTTGGGCGTAACTCTAAATCACATGTCAATTTAAAACAATTTCATCTTTAATGGCATATCTTGAAAAAAATATTCTTGTATTTGCATAAATACTGTATGCAAACAGATAGTGGGCACCATGTATTGTTAGGAAAACCAACCAATTTCCCAGGTACATGGTTGAATGGTGTAGGATTTACACTTAAGATCACCCAAAAAAAACCCCTGATTTGTTAGTCCTGCTCAACTTCTATATTCACATCTTGGCTGATTAAGGGAGCAATCCTAAACAGGTCTACTCAGAAATGTCCCATTTTATTCAATGGAGCTTAATCCCTGGAAAATGCTTCTCAGATTGCAGCTGAGCATGCAATCCTATGTAGGATTTTGGTGGCCTTCAGAGTCAGACAAGAAATAACTGCTGCACACGGCTGCCCTCCAAAAGGGGTAATAATGGATGTGGGAGAGAAGCATCTGTAAAAGTTTATTTAAAGTAGACGCCAGCGTTCTAACTGACAACAGACAATGGTAATTATTCTGGATTACCCGATCTGTGTGTGGTCTGGCGTGCGGGCCCATTGTAGGGAGAAGGCGATGGCTTCACAAAACAAAACAAAACCCACTGTAGAAATGGGGGAGGGGGGCGCAGATAAAATATCCAGCAGCAAAAAGAAGAATTCGTGCCAGGTTTGGGGCTCCGTTTTCCAGATCAAGCTTTATGGGCGGCCGAAGATGCGCGAACAGTGCCTCTGAGCACGCAACGTTCATCTCCCGTTCCCCACAGAGCACAGGCAAGGCCAGACAGCATGGCTAGTGTCTGTGCGTGCACCTCCGTTCTTGTAAAATAATTAAAAAGAAAAAATAATAACCCTGCAAGAAGGAGCCAGAAAGGGCTCCACGAGTCCCGGCAGGGGACATTTAAGCGTAAGGAACAAGTAAAGGCGCAGCAGGGTTGGCTTTCAGCGCCCTGGCGCGACGTACGAGCGCCCTTCCCTCGTGGCTCAGGGCCCCCGGGTGCGTAGACCCAAAGAGCAGCTCCAGGGGGGTGGGGGGATCGGGGAGAGCGCCTCCCCGCCTCACCCCCGGGGAAGGGGCACCCCGACGCGGGGAAAGAAAGTACGAGGAGCTCCATTCCCGGCTGTGTTGAAAAGAAAGGAAGCGCTTACCTTCACCGGCGTAGAGACAGCGGCTGTAGCCATGTTTGTCGGAAGCGAGGGACTAAGGGGTGGGAGGGAGGAAGGAAGAAAGAAGCGAAAGGCGGTCCCTCGCTTGCCTGGATGCTCGCCCGCCTGCAGGGGACAGAAAAGGACGTGATTTCCCGCCAGTTCTCGACTCGCGGGAGGGGCAAAGAGCGAACAGTTCCCTCCCCAATCAAAGCTGTGAAATCGACTTTTTTTTTTTTTAAAAAGGCCCAAACGCCTGGCTATCCACTACAAATAGTCTCGGTGGCACTTTATGACATACAGTGCATGTTACGTCCTTCTCAGTCTGTAACTCTATTTAGGATTGTACTGATAAGGGAGCTAAGCAACAATTTCTGGAAATACGCATTTTGTTTCATTTTCCCCCAGCTCCATGGCATCTATTTTTGAATCCTTGCTGAACTATCTAGTTAGTAATTGTCTGACTGTAACTTATGTAACACTTGATTTATTTTGAATTTAAGCTGTTCAGCACCAGTACTGTTAGTGCTAAAACATTATAATAAGTATGTAAAGTAATTCGTAGGTGATTTTTTAAATTCGGATGTCAACAGAGCAATGCAATGGAGGGCAGAGGATTTTTAATCTTGTTTATTTTTCACTTTAGTAGCTATCGTTATTGATCCTCTGCGAGCCACCTTCCCACTGTTACCTGGTTCCATTAAGGCTGGCAGAATCCAGCCTTGAACAATCTCTTGCAAATATTCAACTGCCATGGTTACAGTATAAGTGGCATTGGAGTGCTAAAAAGCGAAGTCCTCCATGTGGTGAATTCACACTATTGCCTGCCTAGAGGCTGCACACTGGCACATGCAAAATTATCTTGTGGTGTAGCCAGCAAAAGTATTCATGAGGAAAGCTGTAATGTATCCAGTCCAGACATGTCCAGACAAGTCTAGAGACAAAGGTCGAGCTTCACTCCAAGAGACAATGGACTATGCGGATCCTAGCCCACTCCAATCAGGGGGCTAGGTTCCCGGCCGAGAGCCTATGGGACTCTCGGCCACTGTAAATAACATATAGGGAAGTAGGGGTGTGTTTTGGGTGGCGGTTTCTCGGGGGATATAAGCCGGCCTGCAAGCCAGCCAAAGATGTCTTGTTCCGGATAGAATAAGTACGCTTTGCTGAAATCACTCTCCGTTTGCGTACTTTTCAAAAGCTTTGCTGTTTAAGTTCAGGCAAGGAGATTTATTTCTGCCTCAGTTTCCTTCATCTATAAAATGGGAACATTCAATGCTTCGTTCATTACTTCAGAAGTACATCCCATTGGGTTCATGGGGAGGGGGCTTCCAAGTGAGTAAGTATAGGAGAATAGCTGAACATGCTGTTATCGGGAGCCTTGAACACACAAATAAGCAAAAGAATTGTAACAGCAATTCCAAAGCATCCCCCCTTCTACATAAACCCCACCCAGAAGTTGGGTTCCCCCACCTGAAGGTCTGTCTCTGCATCCCTTTGTCACACTACTTACCTCCTTTTCTTCCTCCCTTCAATATTTGTATTTCTTCTGTCTCTGGCTTTGATTTTAATGGGAGGCTGGCAGGCAAGAAGAAACCCATGATCTTGCTTTCACCCAGCATCTTGTTTAAAGTGTGCCATTATGCATGCAGTGCTACTGCATGTGCACCTTTAGCATGCCAGTGCAATGCTTGCCTTGATATTGGGATCTTTTGGTGTGCTAAAGTTGCACATGAAGCAGCCAGGAGCTCAGTTTAAATGAGACTTTGGGTATGTGAAATACTATAAGATTGTTTATTGCTCCTCAGTGAGTTTGGCAGTGACACGGACAGCTTCTATTTGCTCAATGACACACACTTCAACTACATTTTGTGCAGTTTCTGTTAAAAAAGTATGCTGGTTAAACTACTTTGGCTGTAGAGGCAGCCCCAGATTTTCTTAGCATGTGATACTGTTGTGTTGTTTAGCGCAGTGTCAGACTAAGATCTGGATCGAAGTTAGGATCCTCATTCTGCCACGAAAGCTTGCTGGGTGACCTTGGGCCAGTCACACCCTCTCAACCTAATCTGTGCCACAGGTAGGGTTGTCAGGTCCTCCCTGGCCACTGGATTTGGAGGCTGGGTAGGTTTGCCAGCCTCCAGGTTGGAACACTCCTGGAGATTTGGAGGCTGGGTCCTGGGGAGAACAGGGACCTCAGTGGGGTACAATGCCAGAATCCACCCTCCAAAGCATTCATTTTCTTTGGGGGGACTGATCTCTTTAGTTTGGACATGAGCTGTAATTCTGGGGGATCCGCAGGCCCCACCTGGAGGCTGGCATCCTTAGGGTTGTCATGACAATGAAATAGCAGAGAGGAGAACAATGTAAGGGTCTCAACTGGGGAGGAAAGTGGGGTATAAATGAAGTAAATAATGTTCACACACACACATACACACACACTTACAGTGTCATCCTAATAGAGTCAGGTGGGTAGCCATGTTGGTCTGAAGCAGCAGGACAAAGTTTGAGTCCAATGGCACTTTGAAGACCAACAAAGTTTTATTCTGGGTATAAGCTTTTGTGAGTATACACACTTCTTCAGATACATTGAAACAGAAGTCACCAACTATTACAAGTACAGGGTGGGAACATTCGTTCCTGTTGCTAGGATGGTGTCATCCTAAGAACACTTTCTGGGAAGTCAGCCCCATTGAGTGTACTGGAGTAGGATTCTGTCTAAACCTTCTTAAGATTGCTCTCTTCTTCTTTCTTGACTGTTTTCAGTAGTAAGGTACCAGCATTTATTTCAAATGTGTTTTCAAATACGGTATGTAGGTTTAAATTTAAAAAAAACACACACCGTCATATGCATTATTCATTCAAAACACCCACTTTTAGTAGAAGAATATATCAAATGAATTAAGATTTTATCATTCAAAGCTATGGATGGTATATTAGGCTTGGATCTGAAGTCCTGTTGTGCATTACAAATATTTTTTAAATAATCATTTATAAATGTATCGTTTCCCAATGGAAATCATAAGAAGCACTTCCTATAAATGAGTGGGTTTTGAGCATTTTGAAAATAGCATTTATGTTTAAAGTAAGATACCAACGTATTAGTCTTGAAGATATTAATGTACTATCAGATATTTAATGCGAAGTTTATATTTAAATGTTTTATGATAACCATGAAAGCTTCATGACTGCTAAATTTTTGTAAAAATATAATAGGGTGCAGTGTTTTTCCCTAAGGGAACATTCAAAAACACACAGTCTAACATGTATCATCACAAACTTCTACCACCTTATTCTCTCACATTTTAAGATAAGAATAATAAGAGAAGCTAACGTTGGATCAGGCCAATGGCCCATCTAGTCCAACACTCTGTCACACAGTGGCCAAAAATACCAGGTGCCATCAGGAGGTCCATCAGTGGGGCCAGGCCACTAGAAGCCCTCCTACTGTTGCCCCCCCCCCCGCAAAGCACCAAGAAATTAGAGCATCACTTCCTCAGACCGAGCGTTCCTATCTATACCTTGTGGCCAGGGCTCTTTTTGTAGAAAAAGCCCAGCAGGAACTCATTAGCATAATAGGACACACCCAACAGCAGGAACTCATTAGCATATTAGGCCACACCCTGACAGCGCCGCTCATTAGCACATTAGGACACACCCCCATCTTGCCAGAAGTGTGCTCATCCAGCCACATCCACCTTTTGCTTCTTATTCTGTTGACCTTGTTTGTTGTCAAAACCCAGGGCTTTTTTGGTAGCAGGAACTCCTTTGCATGTTAGGCCGCACACCCCTAATGTAGCCAATCTTAATGAGTTCCTGTTGTTGGGTGTGGCCTATTATACTAATGAGTTCCTGCTGGGCGTGGCCAACTCAGGAGCCAGCCAGAACTGTGCGTTCCTGCCCAAAAATAGCCCTGCTTGTGGCTAATAGCCACTGATGGATCTCTGCTCCATATTCCAATCTTAATGAGTTCCTGCTGTTGGGTGTGGCCTATTATACTAATGAGTTCCTGCTGGGCGTGGCCAACTCAGGAGCCAGCCAGAACTCCATTCCTGTGCGTTCCTGCCCAAAAATAGCCCTGCTTGTGGCTAATAGCCACTGATGGATCTCTGCTCCATATCTATATATCTAATTCCCAACTTGCCCCCGGAGTGCGGATCGCTAAATTAGCGCTCCGGGGGCAGCTGGGGGGGCGGGGGAGGTTTGTGCACACGTGGGCCAGTCCCCACATGTGCACAAAAATAAAAAAAGTTGAAAAAATTTTCGGGGGGATGTTTAAATCCCCCCGAAA